GGACACGGAAAAAGACAAAAGACAAAAAAAAAAAAAAAAAGATGCTTGTGCACCTAGCACTTCATCACTCCCAAAATTACAAGAGTTTTAGGAGTTCTGTGCCAGGAACCAGGGGCAAAGACCAACTATATCTTTCTTATTATATCACAATATGACAGTAAAGAATTGGGGGTAATGGCATGGCATGAAAGGCACCAGCATAACTTAGCAAGAATGTGCTTTGACATGTTGTTCAATAACCAATACAAAGAAGATGGAAGGTTAAAGTGGAATCATGCCAAGGTTTTACAGTGCCCATAGTTCCTGAAGAAGACACACGTACAGCAGAATCAGAAAACATTCACAATTTCTATAGTATAGTCAAAAAAAATAAATGGCCACCTTGAACAACAAAGCTTTAGGTGGGAATAGACAGAATGTGGTACAACTGCAGTCCAGAGAACACCTGAGGAATAACAAAATAGTAAACATGAAAAACCAGTGAAGGACAATATGCTTTTAAAGAGGTCAAGCAGAGTGCGAAACTAGCCTAAACATCCAATTCAAATTCTAAGATTGTCTGTTTAGTAATGCTGCATTACCATTACTGTTATGCAATGCATTAGCTGATTCTTAAACATTTTTGTTTCATTATAAATAATTATAAATGTTAAAATGCTATGTTAATTTGTTTTTAAAGGAAGGGATATTTTTTAAGGCCAGCTGCTATAGAAAGAGCCACAGATTAAGAAATTAAAGCTACTGTAAAATCTATATCTCAAGCTCTCCGAGCTTCAGATTTTCATTTAAACCACCCCCTAGACATCTTCTCAGACTTAACACGTCCTAAACTGAACTCCATATCTTGATAGATATCTCATTTCATTGTCTTTAGTAACAGTTCCACCACCCACTCGATTGGCAAGCTACAAACCCAGGAATAACCTCCCTCTCCCTCTCTCTCTCTCTCTCTCTCTCTCTCTCTCTCACACACACACACACACACACACACACACACACACACATTCCTATGGAAAAACACATACTTTGGTGATCTCTCCTTACCGTCACCGTCATCACTGTTTTAGGCCAGGTCTTCATCCTTTCACTTGGATTTTGATACTTGCCCTCTGGCTGATCTTCTAGGCTCTGGTTTCTCATCCTCCGTTCCATTCCGTGGCTGAAGTCATCTTCCTAAAAACAAATCAGATCATAGACGCCTTTTCTCTGATGCCTTTTTTTGCTTCATTCTGCCTACACACTCCTACAAGTAAAACACTTTATTATCTCACACATATATTCATTTGTAAATAACACAGATAGACAATGACTGAATCAATATACTGTACTCATAAGAAAATAACATAAACCTTGAAATTTTTAAGGGTGAGATAAAGATGAAATAAACCCTGTTTTATTTTCTATTTATTAATGGCAGATAAAATCTTTTATTATTACTAAAATGTTGTTTAGTGAGAGTAATGTAACTGAACATGCTTCATAATTTGGGGGAATTTGTATTGTGATAAGGCAACTTAACAAAGCTCATTCTTTTTTTTTTTTTTTTTTTAAAGATGACCGGTAAGGGGATCTTAACCCTCGACTTGGTGTTGTCACCACCACGCTCAGCCAGTGAGCGAACCGGCCATCCCTATATGGGATCCGAACCCGTGGCCTTGGTGTTATCAGCACCGCACTCTACCGAGTGAGCCACAGGCCGGCCCAAAGCTCATTCTGAGTGCAGTTTATTTTGATGTATACTTTGGTGGCTGTCAGAGCTGCAGAATACACCTCGCAGGACCACGTATACAAATGAAGGAAGCATATCACTGAATGAGCTTGTGAAATTCTGATACTAAATTTTCAAAACCAGCCACATGTTTTACAAGGACTATTGAGAAAACTCGCTAATGCTTGTGTTATTTGTGTTATCTTTTTAAGTCATTTATCCATTTTGTGAGGCTTGCATTAGTCAAACTAGAAAACATAATACATAAACTCACTTAACTATGTATACATAAACTATTGATAAATTTTAGTTTGCTTTAAGAATGAATAGGAGGATTAAGGACACCTTCCAATGTTGCAGATCTCAACCCTTCCCTCAGAATTCCTTGTAGTTGGAAAGCCCATCTGTCTGGCTGACACACAGACCAAGCGAGGGCACCAAAGCTCATCTGTATGTTACTTAATTGTAATGCCTAAATCCTTTCTTGTATTTTCAGATAGATAGGCAAGCTTCACACTTTCCTTCCACACCTCAGCGTATCATCTTACACAATCCTGGAATGTTTTCAGCCCACTTTGGAAACCACTGGCCAATGTATTACATCCAGACATCTTAGCAGGACACACCAGGACTTTCCTAATGCACCCCGATCGAATTCTTCATTCCATCCAGGCTGTTCATCAGCAGCTCAACTTATCATCCTTGAATCTCTGATTATATCTTTGCCGTTCACATTTCCTCTCTAGAATACTCTTGCCCCCATTCTCTGCCTCACCCCAAACCGTCCTCACCTGGTATGCTCTCCTTCACCCTTCAAGGCACAACACAAAAGCAAGCCCTTCTCTGATGTTCTTCCTGAATGCCCAGTGTTCCCTCAGCGTGATGTTTAAACCTTTTAATACCCCTCGCCATACTATGCACACATCTGTCTTTACCCATGTGGTAAGCCCCTTGAGATCAAAGACCATTTGGGCAACCACAGCACCTAACACAGCAACTGCCTAACACAGCCAAAGGCTCCACAAAACTGTTTGTTGAATAATTTACAACTTAGAAAGATTGGAGCAATTTCAAAATTAGAAAAGGCAAAGAAGAGCAAATATCTGTTGGAGAATCAAAGACCAGTAGAAAGAAGTTTCTAAGGAAAAGCAAGGAATCAATTACCTATTATCCCCACACTGGTCAACCAATTCATGGACAGAATGCAGGGGAATTACAATGAAGATGCAATTGGCAAGGTAAGGTTTAACTAATCAAGAATAGCTTTTAATTTAACAAAAACTGGCTGCATTGTCTTCCGGGGAATCCCAGGATGAGATGATGGTGATCACACTGGTCCCTGGGAAGCTGCTGTGGATTGAATTGTGTCCCCCAAAGTTCATGTATTAGAAACTGAACTCACACGGTTGCAGTGTTAAGAGGGTAGGAAATCCTGTTATGGTAATTGAAAGGTGGTGCCCTGAAAAGGTGATTAGATTGTGAGGACCATGCCCTCGTAAATGAATTAATGAGTTGATGGTTTAATGGTGGTCATGCGCATGGTTCTGAGGGCTTTAAAAGGACAGCCAGTGAGGTTAGCTCTCTCTCTTGCTTCTTCTTTTCTCACAGTGTGATGCTCTGCATCACTGAAGTCACCACCAAAGAAGGCCCTCACCAGATATGTTCCCTAGACTTTGGACTTCCCAGCCTCTGAAATTGTAAGCAATAGGTATTGTCTCTTATAAATTACCCAGTTTCAGGTATTTCTGTTATAAGCAACGTGATCGGACTAATACAAAAGCCATTTGGGTGTTGGGCTCTACAGAGCTGCAATAGAAAACTTTAAAAGATTTCATCTCTTGGCCTCAGAGACTGAGAGGGTAAATTTAAAGAGAGCCTCACCCTTTAAGAGATAATTAGTAATTTAACTAATTAATTAATTAAATATGCTGCCTTCAAAACTGTGCTGTGATAAAAATTTTGAATAGGAAAGAGTTGATTTCCTTCAGCTATCCCTGTTCTAAGCAGAATATAAGAATATATACATCCAGCTTATTTCTTTGTATGTGAGTTTATATTCAGTGTGCTATAAAATCATACACTATCACACAATGTCTTTGCATGAACCAAGATAATGTGTTGCTCCTTTTGATATCTATTAAACACAGCCTATGATGTATAATCCAATATATATTATATAACAAGCAAATTTTCACTCTCCCATCTTATGTTACCCTGTAGAGTCAGTGCTTTTTGTTAGTGGTCATAGCTAGAAATTAGGATTGGGTGTGTCATTTAAGCTCTCTCCTGAAGTTCATCTATAAAATTATGACACTTTTTAGCTAATTCACCAATATTTACTCCTAAGAGCCCACACAATGCTTTGAAAGTGGTATGGTTTTTTATTTCACCACTTACTCCATGAATAGATGCTAGAGTCATCAGAATGCAGTGATCCCTGCGAGATGTCATTTTATGCCACCTTTACTGTTCATCTCAATAAACGCTACCATATCTTCCTCATAAACACTTCCATCTCAGTCTTACATGGTATTTTACCAATACACTTATAAGTCATTCACTGTAGCATATCTCTTGAGATGATGGTTTATACTTAAAGCAGTATTACAATTTAGGAAGTACTCAGAACTAAAAAATTAATCAGATAAAACAGATTTGAGCAAATGCTTTAAAACATTAGATGATAAACTCTGCCTCTTCTTTTTAATCCCTCATATTAGATAGATGGTCATTCTGTACATGAGGAATGAATGTAGAACAATATCAGTGTGATATCATGATTTTATTTTTCTCACACTGCTATCAGTGATTTCCCCCCTTCTTTATGGACTGACTTTTACTCACAAAGCAATATTCCAGTTGCTGTGGATGGACTGAATTTTGTCCCCCAAAGTTCATATATTAGGAGCTTAATCCCCTCTGTACCTGTTGAGGGTGGGAAATCCTATTATGGTAATTGAAAGGTGGGGCCTTGAAGAGGTGATTAGATTGTAGAACCATGCATAGTGAAGGGATTAATAATGGTGGTCAGGGACGTGGTTCTGAGGGCTTTAAAAGAGAACATGTGAGAGTCGCTCTCTCTCTCTGCTCCACCATTTTCTGCCATTGAGACCCCTGCATTACCATCACCAGGCCTTCACTAGATGTTTTCCCTAAACTGTGGACTTCCCAGCCTCCAAAACTGGAAGCAATAAATTTTGTTTTCTTATAAATCACCCAGTTCCAGATATTTTGTAATAAGCAACAGGAATGGATTAATATAGAAAATTGGTACCAGAGAAGAGGAGTGTTTATAACAAATACAAGTGCTTATAACAAATACTTCAAAACGTGGAAAGGGTTTAGGAACTGGGTGTTGAAGAGAGGCTAGATAAATTTAGACGAACAGGATAGAAAAAACCTGGATGCTGGTGAAAGTTTAGAAGATAAGAAAATCAGGGAAAGTTCGGAATTTCTTAAAGACTGGTTAAATGGTGGTGAGCAGAATGCCGGTAGGAAAATGGACAGTAAATTTATGGCCACACTGAAGAGATCTCAGATGTAAATGATTAAGGACTTATTGGAAACTGGGGCAAAGATCACCCTTGTTATGAACTGGTAAGGAACTTGGCTGTATTCTGTTCATGCTCAAAAGTATTATGGAATGTGGAGTTTAAAGGTGCCAACCCAAAGTATTTGGCAGAAGAAATTTCTAAGAGGCAAAACATTCAGGAAGCTGCATGGCTACTTGCAACAGCCTACGCTGAGTTATGGCAGAAAAGGCATGACATAAAGCCAGAATGTATAATTAAACGGGAATCAGAGCATAAAGATTTGGAAAATTTGCAGCCTGGCTATGTGGTAGAGAAGCAGAGGGCATTTTCAGCAGAAAAATGCAATGGCATTAAGAAGATTAATACAAAAGAAAGGGATTATCAAGAGAAGAGGGAAAAGGCCCTGAGGGTATTTCAGAAGCCTCTGGAGCCAACCCTTCCATCACAGGCCCTGAGGCCAAGGGAGACAGAATGATCTCAGGGAACAGGCCTGAGGCACCCTCCATGGTTGCCCAGGACCACTTCAAGATGCTGCCCCCCACATAAGCATCCCAGCTGATTTGGCTGCTCCAGCCATGGCTAAATTGGCCTCAGATGTGGCTGAACCAGCAGCTTTGGAAAATTCAAGCTGGAAGCCTTGGGAGCATCCACATGGTTTTAGGTCTACAGGCTCACAGAATGTCAGAGCTGTGGATGCTTGGGCGTATACACCCTGATTTCAAAGGGTGTATGGAAAAGCCTGGGGGCCCGGAAAGAGATCTGTAACATGGGTATATTCACCACCGACAGGGTTCCCTAGAACAATGCTAAGCAGAAACGTGCAGTTGGAGTTGCAGCAGAGAAACCCTGTCAGCACCATGTCTAGTGGAGCCATGAGAGCAGGACCACCATGTAAACCCCAAACCTATGGAGCTAACAAAGTGAAACACCAGCCAAGGAATGCTGAAGTGTAGCCTGAGACCAGGAAAGCCATAGGAATAAAGCTGCCCAAAGACTTGGGGACCCAACCCCCACACCAGCATGCAGAGGATATCGAACATGGAATCAAGGTACATGATTTGCCAGGTTTGAGATTTAATGCCTGCCCTGCTGGGTTTCAGACTTCTTTGGGACCTGTTATCCCTTTCTTTTGGCCTATTTCTCCCTTTCTGAATAGGAATATGTACCCTATGCTTGTCCCACCATTGCATCTTGGAAGTAGATAACTTGTTTTGATTTCATAGATGGGACCTTGAACCTTGGACTTTTCAGATGAAACAAGTTAAGACTTTGGGGATGGAATGGATGTATTTACCTGTGAGAAGGATGTGAACTTTGGGGGCCAGGGACAGAATGCTATGTATTGATTGAATTGTTTCCCCAACATTTCATATATTAGAAGCTTAATCCCCACTGTAACTGTTGAGAGTGGGAAATCCTATTATGGTAATTGAAAGGTGGGGCCTTGAAGAGATGATTAGATTATAGAACCATGCTATAGTGAAGGGATTAATAATGACCGTCAGGGGCATAGTTCTGAGGGCTTTAAAAGGACAGCATGTGAGAGCCTCTCTCTGCTCCATGATCTTCTGCCATTGAGACCCCTGCATCACCGTCACCAGGCCTTCACCAGATGTGTTCCCTGGACTGTGGACCTCCCAGCCTCCAAAACTGGAAGCAATAAATTTTGTTTTCTTATAAATCACCCAGTTCCAGATATTTTGTTATAAGCAACAGGAATGGCCTAATACACTAACATTACCATAAACACAAGAAAATTATCTGTCAAAAGCATAATTCAGAAGACCATGGAGAAGACATGGGACAATTTCATCCTGATGAAATATGTCATTCTTCATACACATACATTCACCCCTCAAGTAGAAAATGACTATCAATGTGATGAAAATTAGCAAATTTACTTGTGTTGATATAATTTTATTTAATGGTTGGTGTGTTCCCCAGGGAACAATCAAGATGGAAGCTCTTTCCCAGCTGTCATAGAAGACTTTGGATGATCAGTGCCTGCAGTAGACTGACCTTCGCTAAATTGTAAGGTGACCTGGACAGACAGACAGAATTTTTCACCTTTAAGTGTTTTTCTACATAATAATATTGTATATAACAACTACAACAACATTAAGGCTTTTCCCAAAGACTTCCGTGAACTGGTAATCTACACTCTCCCCCTACCATAGCCAGCTTGTTTTCAGTTTAATTTTATACCTAACCCTCTTATGTAAAATAGACCCTTGTGGCAGACATTTTCACCAAAATTTCTGCTTTCCCATTCCTCTAGGTACATATCCCCTTAAAGTTAGGCAAGGACCATGTGACGTCCTTTGATGAGTGAAATCTGACAGTGGCCTGTGTCACTTCTAAGTGAAAGTACTTGTGATTTAGTGTGCAGTTCTCCATCCTCTCTTCCCCTGCCATGGTGCTTATGGAGATGTCACAGAAACAGGCTAGAATGATGAGTCACCATGATAGTGGACCTAGAGATTTTGCATGAGCAGGAAATCAACTCCTGTTGTATTAAGTCACTGAGATTTTGGTGGTATTTGTTATAGCAGCATAATCTAGCCTATCCTGACTGATATAATCTCTCACTAGCTTGATCCACACTGATCACCATTTATGCTGCAGCCCACAGCTGCAAATGTGGCTGTTATACCAGCAAGACATGTTTATAACATGAGTTGACTCCAGTCACCGTTGAGAGCAAAGTCTCAAAGAAATTTGAGCAGCAAAAAGGTAGCTGGGTTAATCATACTGTATATCCTACACCCTTGGAGGTCCTGGATTAGCACAGAGGGCTTCCCAATGCAAACAGCCGTCTTGATTTATCACCAAGGAGGTATCAGTTTTATGGGAGAAAGGAGGAGTTTTATTTAGAACACACTGAAGCCTTGTGGAAAATTCAGTGAAAATGCCTAGCAAGTAATTGGAAATGCAGAAATGGGGCTTGGAAACAGGTTAAAAATGTGGGAATAGATTCAGAAGTAATCTTCACACACTTGAAAGGTGAACATAAGACATAAATAAAATTTCCAAGGGAAATCTAGAGAGTAAAAAAAAATTAAAAGCCAAGAAATGAGTCTTAGGAAATACCCATATTTGGGGGACAGAGAAAGGGGGGGGGGAAAGGAAGATATGTGAACTCTGATGACAACACCCATTCATTTTGAGAGCTAAGAATACCATACCATCATTAATAAGTTCATTTAAATTTAAATTTCAAGATTTTTAATGAGGATTAAAAATGAATGACTCCTTAACAATCCATTTACTCTCTCAGATATTAAAATAGATTACCTATCTGGCAGGCAGCTGGACATTATCTGTAATAAGAAGCAAAATGATTTTTTAATTCAATGTCTCAGAACTAATTTATCAAGATTTAAAGTAGAAACAGAAGAACTTTTTAAACATGCATGATCTGCTCTACATTATAGCCATTCGTTTATTCAACGAACTTATCCTACACATCTGGCACGAGCTAGGCACCATGGGGGCACCGTCATCATTCTTGGCCGGCTATCTCATCCCTGTACCCATTTCACATACTGCTCCCCCTGCAGGCACGTCGGATCTCGTGCCAGCTTTGCCCCTGCAAGGATGACCTTGAGGGTTAATTAGCTAACATCTTCTGAATCCTAGGTATGTGTGCCAGGCACTACACCAGGCATTTTATGTGGATTTTCTCATTTAATCTTCAAGATAACCCTTTAAAGTGGGCGTTAGTATCATCCCTATTTTACAGCTTGGGAGCCTTGAATTTTAAGAAACTTGCCTAAGGTCACATAGCTAATAAGTGGTGCAGTCAGTACTCAAAATAGGCTGCTGGATGCCAAAGTAGGTGCTCTAGGACTAGCTACTGAAAATGTGATTCTTAGACTAGCAGCACTGACATCACCTGGGAGTTTGCTAGAAATGCAGAATCTTGGGCCCAACCCCAAACCACTCAACCAGAATTTGGTTTTAACAAGATCCCCAACTGATCCTTCTGCACATTAAAGTTTGGGACACACTGTGCTAAACCACTCTACTATGAAGACTTGACTTTAA